GGACTTCCTCACCTGTGAGAAACACTTTGTATGCAAAATCATTAAATGGCTTGCAAAATAACGTTTTAAATCCTTAGAGGTATTCTTTGTTATACAAAATGATGTGGCCACTGCCTTTGGATCATGACCTCCTCCCTATCCAGTTACCCAGTTACTTGAGAAAGACTGGCCAACCTTGACTGAGCAACTGTGTGGGGTGGGAGGGTGAGGGTGGGCATTCCTGAGAGGCTGAGGCATGAGAAGCTAAAAGGGAAATGTTGGGCAAATTACCCAACTCTTCTGATACATGTGCTAAGTAAGTGCATGAGCTAGTTTTGTTATGCATTAGTGTATTTTTTGTTTGTTTTTTTAATCCTCACCTGAGGACATGCTTAGAGAGAGAGAGACAGACAGACAAGACAAACAGACATCGATTGGTTGCCTTCCATGTACTCCCTGACTGGGGATCAAACCCGCAACCCAGGTATGTGCCCTGACCAGGAATCGAATGGGCAACCTTTCAGTGCTATTTTGCATTAGTTTTGTTGCATAACAAAGTACCCTGAAAAGTAATGGCTTAAAACAGTAATCATTTCGCTCATGATGTGGGTCAGCCACCTGGGCTGGGCTCAGCTCAGGAGTTCTTCTGTCGGCTCACCTGGGGTGTGCTTCTGTCATGCGGCTGGTCAAAGATGGCCTCGCTCACGCGCCTGGCTGTAAACTGGGCCACGTGTCCACAGCAAGCTCCACTGCAGTGACATCTTCCAAACCTCTGCTGCAGCACATTCTCTAATGTCCCATTGGCCAAAGCAAGGCGCATGGCCAAGTTCAGACTCAAGGGGTTAAGAAAGACACTGCACCTCTCACTAGGAGAGGCAAAGTCACATGTGAAGAAGCAAACAAGCAAGATGGGGGGGAACCTGTGGCCACGTGGACGAGTTGCTGCCCCAGGTCCATCTGATACAAGCCTTCCAGGCGCCACCGAAACCCTAACCTGGCCAAGAAGCTTTCTAAGGTGGGCCTAATGGTGCCTGCCACGCGAGAGCTGTTTGAAATTATGAGCTGATTCATGGGATATGAATCTGATTCATATTTATATCACCACAGGGTCCTCACCTCGTTGGTTCTTTTTTATTGAGGTATAATTGACAACCAAAATTGTATATATTTAAAGTGTATAATTGATAATTTCACATACATGTACACACTGGAAGTGATCTGCACAATAAAGCTAATAAGCACATCCATCACTTCACGTCATTGCCTCTTTGTATGTGTGAGAACACTCAAGATATACTCTTTTAGCACATTTCAAGTACTGGTTGGTTCTTTCTGGTTGTTTTCATTGAGTTGAGTTGAATTGAATTGAGTTGGGAGCTTTCTCATTACAAGCTCCTGGAAGGCAAGTTTGGGATTGCACTGGCACATCAGGTCTCCTTTCCAAAGCTCTCAGAAAGATACGAGCAGACTGACGTCCTGCAGGCTCTCAGCTGAGCGGCAGGAGGGCTAGGTCTGGAGCCAGCTCTGTTCAGGGCACTCTTTAAGGAAAGTGTGGGGCTTGCAGGAGACCACAGGCCCTGGCACTGAAGCATCTTCAGGCTGACCATACCCCTCATGAGTGAAATCACTGTTTTAGGCTTAGAAGGCAGAAAGACTCAGAAACTTGGAGAATGTGGCTTTCCTTCCCCACCCAGGGAAGCCAGCACACAAGGGGCAAAGCCAGGCCAGGTCATGAGAAACCTTGTTTGTCAGCCCCAGGTCTCTGAGGCTTCTGCTTCATGATAGTCCAGAACGTGCCAAATCCTGTCCATGTCACCTCGTTACTCTTCCAAAACCCACCAGGGCAGACAGTTGGGCTGCTCTAGACCAGGGCGGGGCGGGTGGCCGAGAGGTAGGGGAGGACAGCCCTTCTTGGAGCTGCTTGCACACCCCCTCACTCTTCTGGTCCAGAGCTACTCAAGATCCTGGTTCTAGATTAACTCCAGAACTTCCCGGGACAATCGATTTCAGATGGACCACTCTTTGGGACTAGGAAGGTGTCCTTCCCATGGCATAAGCTGAATCGTCGGGGACTTCACTAGTCACAGGCTTAGGAATGAGTTTTCTTTACATGACACAATCATATTTACTACTTTATTCACTGAAATTCTATTGACTCCCCACTGTGTGCCAGGCACAGCCTCAGGCATTGGAGAGAGGCAAGATGAGCCAGACGTGGGTCCTGTCTCCAGAGAGCACACGTGCCTTAAGAACATACACAAGGTGGGAAGTACCAGGCCAGAAGGGCTGTATAAGACCTCAGAATTATTGCCCTGGCCAGTGTGGTTCAGTTGGTTGGAGCATCGTCCCATTTACCAAAAGGTTGCAGATTCAATCCCCAGTTGGGACTTGTATAGGAGGCAACTGATCAACGTGCCTCTCTTATCTCTGTCTCTCTTCCCCTTCCCCTTTTTCTAAAATCAATAAGCATATCCTTGGGTGAGGATAAAAAAAAAAAAGACTACAGAATTATGGTTCTTTGGAGCAGGAAATACCTCATCGAATCTACCCCTCATTCCTCAGAGGAGGCAACAGCCTGAGAGAGAGAGCTTAGACATCTAGAGACACTCAGTAAGTGGTAGTTACTAATTCACTAAACAAGCATTTATTGAACATCTACTATATACCAAGAGCTGGGCTGGCACTGGAGATACCACAGGGAACAAGGAAGACACGGTCCCTATCCTTTTGGAGGTTCACCTGTGACTGTTGAGTCCCAATCTTGGCTGCACTTTAGAATCAGCTGGGGAGCTTCAAGGAAAACCTCAGAGCCAGGGCCGATGCTCAGAGACCCAGATTTGCTGGAGCTAGGTGGCCCAGGCATGGGTATCTCAAACACGTTCTCCAAGTGATTCTAATGAGCAGCGAGGCCGAGGACCACTGCTCTAGGGGAGAGAGAGACAGAAACCAAGTGAACGCAAACACATTCACTGAGATTTGTGATGTGTAAGGGATGAACTGGTTGCTGAATGAGGACACAGCAGGGTGGGGTGTCTGTTACCTGATATGCTTAGAGAACTGTGTTCTCAGCAGTAGAATCTTCTGGGGCATATCGCCCACCCTGCAGATCCACAATCCCTGCATGGGAACCCAGCCCCTACCAAGCAGAGGTTCTCGATGTGCAAGATAAAATGGTTATCCACCATTCATCCACCCCCACCCCAAGTACTGCCCGCCCTCTGCTGTTTATGAATGTTCCCCAGGGCACCGGCTTAATATCCCTCACATTTTTAGAGTAGTTAGTAAAGCACATTCCCTCTTATTATCTGTAATATTGGATCCTAATGCTAATCCCAAGAGTGAGCTGAGTCAAGGTTATGATAGTCCCATGACAGAGATGTGGAAACAGGCTCAGAGAAATGGTGTGACCCGCCTAAGATCACACAGCTAATAAATGGATGTGTGAGACCTCAGTCTAGCTCACCAGCTTCTCCCTCCACCCTGCGTGTTGCCCCCACCCACATAGCACCAGGAACCTGAAACAGAAGCAGGGCACCTGAGAGGCAGTGGTGACACTGTGACACCGTTTAGTCCAGAACATTCCTGTCAGGTTGGGCCGTGGTGATGCGTCCCCCCTTTAACTTGGATGGCATACAATCTCCTTCCCCATCAGGGACTCAGAGGAATCTGTGACTCGTTGCTTCAGTTCCTGCCCAGAGTGAACCCAGTTACTATAGTAACCGGATGTAATTCTTTATTATAGATAGGGTGGGTGGTTTTCATTTTGTATTTAAAGAGTTCGTCCAGCCAGCTATGTTGCCATGGTTTGGCCTGTTGGTGGCAGTTAGGAGCAGAGGGGACCCTTTGAGCAGCCATTAGGTCTTTTCTGTTCCCACAGATGGTGGAGACATGTGTCTGGCTTAGCTGCACTGGGGAAGGAGGGTGGGGGTGTCTAGGCTTGGTGCTGTGTTGGGTACCCTCTCCTGTTTAGAGAGTGCACCTTCCTAATTAGAACCACCTGAGGCGAGGCCGGCCCCTCAGCCAGTTGCTCTCGCACTGACTCCCATGGATCCCTTCCATGATCCTCATGCTCAGAGCTGTTTTGTTCAACCCTGAATGCTCCTGTTGGGATCTCCTTGAGAACAAAGTCTGGGTCCTTCCCCATAAATAAACCCCAGCACAAGTCCGGGCTGGGCATACAGCAGGTGCTCAGTAAATGCTTGTTTCAGCTGCTTTGCCCTTCTCCTGGCATGACAGCAGGAGCCTCAGCCTCATGGAAGGTTAGGGCTGGAAGGGAGCTCAGTCCAGCACTTATTTTATAGAAAGACTGAGACCCCATATATTAATAATGCTGAAAGTAATAATAGCTAATACGAACAGAGTGTTTACTGGATGCTAGGCAGGAGTCCATGAGCTTTGTGTATGCTCATCGGTTGCAGGCTCACAGTGAAACCATGCAGCTCCAGGTGTTATCATTGTCCCAGATGAGCAAACTAAGGCACAGAGAGGTTCACAGGGGTACCCAAGGTCACAGAGCTAGTTGGTGTTAGGATCGGGAGTCAGACCCAGGCAGTCCCTCTCCAGGGCCCATGCATTAACACCCCGTGCTCTTTGTGAGAGCAAAGCACTGCCAGCCGACACTGTGGGTTCCTCCTCTGATTGGGAACAGGAGTCTGTGCCAACCTGTACCAGCTCAATCATAGAGGAAACATAACTTTTCATCTCCAGATTCCCCTCCAGGGCTTAGTTCAGGGCCTGGCAGGAGCTTAGGAACTTGGTTTTAATACAAATGTGCTGTTCCTCCTCCTCCTCATGGAATAGCCATTTTGGGAGCATCTTAGAGCAGGAAGGGACCTTGGGAAGCAAGGTACAGAAATAGGGCGCCCCCAGAGTGAATGTCTCAGCCAGGTGTACCCACTCCCCATCCAGGGCGCTCACCACAGGGGGCGCCAGAGAGGGCCCGAGGTGCGTCAGCTGCCTGACCTCCGCGGAGCACTGTGGGTTCCCTCTTAGCCACACTAACATGCTCTCCGCTCCCGCAGCTCTTCGTGATCGACAATGGTGCGGACGACTGGCGGATAGCCATGACCTACGAGCGCATCCTCTACATCAGCCTGGAGATGCTGGTGTGCGCCATCCACCCCATCCCCGGCGAGTACAAGTTCTTCTGGACGGCTCGCCTGGCCTTCTCCTACACACCCTCGCGGGCGGAGGCCGATGTGGACATCATCCTGTCCATCCCCATGTTCCTGCGCCTGTACCTGATCGCGCGTGTCATGCTGCTGCATAGCAAGCTCTTCACAGACGCTTCGTCCCGCAGCATCGGGGCCCTCAACAAGATCAACTTCAACACCCGCTTCGTCATGAAGACCCTCATGACCATCTGCCCTGGCACCGTGCTGCTGGTGTTCAGCATCTCGCTGTGGATCATCGCGGCCTGGACCGTCCGCGTCTGCGAAAGGTATTCCTGCGGGTCGCGTTCTCCACTCAGCCCAGGTCTTCGGAAACCAGAGCCCTCACAGGGGAGGGGAGGGAAGAGGACCAGGGTGCCAGGATGTGTATGCCTGATGGAGGAGATGGGCATGTATCCACGCACCTCAAAGGAGAAAATGGGAAAGGGGAGGGCCCAGTCAGGCTGAATATGAACTGCAACGTGGAAACATTGTAACCAAGGTAAGCTGGGAAAAATGCATGTATAATATTACTCATTTTCTGTTCCCTCTTTGTAAACCAAAATATATCAGCGCATTCTGGTTACATCACTAACCATTCTCAGGTATAACATTATAATTTTTGAATTATCCCTTCCTATTGGAGATGACCTATGTATGCTCATTAACATTTTAAAGGCTCTGAGAAGTCCTACAGTAATGAAACTGGTTTGACTTTATTTAGTGCAAATTTTCTCAAAAGTATTTGCCCCCAAACCCTTTTCAACGTATAACACTGCTGATGCCTCACTCCTCAAAGTTTGGTCTATAGACCGGCAGCATCGGCATCCCTGGGAACTTGTTAGAATACAGAACTGCAGGCCTCACCCCAGAACTACTGAATGGAATTTGCATTTTAACAAGTTCACTGGCTGATTTGTATGCACCTTAAAAGTGTACTGGTGGGACATACTTTGGGAAACACTGTTTTAAGGAGGCTGGTGCTTGGGCAGTGACTCGGAGAAGCAGCCAGCAGGAGAAGGGGGGTATGGCCTAATAGATCCAGGGCTTTACCTCAAAATGCCAGCCCCTCAGAACTGCCACCACCAAGCTCAAGGGTAGGACCATCTCCTTTCGCCACCACCCTCAAGCTGCCCTTGATGACACCTCTCCTTTTCAGGCTGACCCTGGATATTCATTTTAATCTTATTTCAAGGGTAGAGTCTAAACACCCAGGTTAGAAACCTGGATTCTGTTTCTAAGTAGCTGCAAGACCTTGGGCAAGTCACGTAACCTCTCTGGCCTCTGTGCCCTTATTTTAAAATGAGGGTCTCCTAAGATAAAAGGAAGATATGTTCCCTTAAGAGGTTATTTTTATTATGTTGGGAAGCTTGGTCAAGCATCCTGTTATTTACATGGATCCTGGTAGTCACTCTTAATTCATCAACACATACAGCAGTATTGCCAAATCTTCCATGCACAGTGTTCATCCCAGCAGGGATAAGCGAACGAAGTCTGGAGGAGAGTTGCCTGAAAACATCTCAAGTGGATAGTTGAGCCAGATTTCCCACCTATTTTGAGATGTTCTGTTTACAGACATCTCTTTCAGATATTTGGCCAGGAGACACGCAGTCAGACTAGGCGGGCATTCTTCGGCAGCAGGACAAGGGCCCTTGAGCCTGGCAGAGTCAGTCTCTGAGAGCCAGTGCAGAATTGGGGAACACTTTTCACATACATATCCCCAGGGGACACAATAATCATTTATTCAGAACTCTACCAATTACTTAGCCGCTGACATCACAGCATCTGCTCTACTTAAGACCACACTTCACGGTGCCCCATGAATCCTTTCTGGTAGGCAGATGCTCTTTCTGCCTGCCAGAAAGCGTGTGCTTGGGATCCGGTCCCAAAATTCTTATACTACTCCTAGCTGAGCAACATCATGCCAGTCTCTTTACTTCTCTGGGCCTCAGTTTTCTCATCTGCAAGCTGGGAGAGTAATACCTACTTTACAGAATTTGTTGTCAGAGTTAAACAAGATGGTGTGTGTGAACTGTACATTGAAATACAATATAGTGAAAATTAATAATAGGAAGAGCCTTTGACAACTTGGGAATTTCGTGGGTGCCCTCTTCTAATGCGAACAAACTGTGCTCTTCCTCTTTTCCTTTCTAAATGATTGAAGCCGAGTCTTCTAACAATAATTGAATCTGCATAGCCCAGTAAGGTGTTGAAATCTTCCTCATCCTCAAATCAACACTGTTTGGCATGTACGGTCACCCAAAATGGGCTGAACGTGGGGCAGTGCGTGCCAGTGCGATTTCGTCATTTATTGAATGCATAACAAGAAGTGACTATTTTTTACTGGAAAAGCAGCATGCTTCAAAGTGCATAGTTTGCAAAGTGCTCTGTTGCACTTTATCTGGCACTGAGTGGCCCCGCAAGGCTCTGTCCGCAGACATGACTGACAAGCCCCAGCCGAATTCTAGCGCAAAGGCCCGGAGAAATAATGAGCACGTCAGAAGTTCGCCTCAGGTTTTCCTTTCTCTCATGAAAGGCCCTTCGACCAAAAGGCTTCTACTTAGCTCTAACATGAGGTATATTAAAGCCACGGGGGGTGTTCTCACTGCTCCTGTTTTTCGGGAGTTTTTTGTGAGAGGCTTCCTATGTGTTTCTCTGTTTCCCCCGTAATAACCTAGGATAGAGGCAGCATGACTCTCCAATTTGGAGCCGAGGACAGGCCTGTAAAGGCACCAGTCTGAGATCACAGCTAGTAATGTGAAGCCAAGACTTGAACTTCTGACTCTGAACTTCGCATTTCTGTCACCACCCCGGGCTGAATCCTGCACGTACAGGGAAGCTGTGGCCTAGACTGCCCCGGCGACTTTCCCCATCTGAGAATCTCAAAGCCTCCGAGACTGCACTGAAATCCCAGTGTTGCTGTTTTGTCTCCTCTGATGTCTGTGCTCTAAACCGTTCTACCACAGTGTCTTCGGGGCTGACTTCACGTTAGATTCTAACAGATCCATGCGCAGTGGGTACCGCGGTGCATCCCCCAGATGCTCCCCCTAGGTCCAGGCTCTCATTCCCTCAGCTGGGATTGTCTGTGTGGCCGGCCCTCTCCCAGAATTGCCCTGGCTGAAGGGAGTGGCCTCAGCCAAGGTCAAGCTCCCTGGCCAGGGCAGCAAGCGCACAGCCCCTTCCCCTTCTGCAGGACAGCTCTTCAGGGCCCCCAGCCCTGTCTGCAGGGCTCCCGGGGGGATGCCAGAGGCCTCCACTGTGCTGCAGGCGCTCCATCTCACCCCCCTGCCCGGTCCCACTGCCCTCACGCCCCCCGTGTGAATCCCAGCACAGCCCCAACAAACTTCCTGCGCCCCAATTTCAGCGTCTCAGAGACTCTTTCCCAGGAACCTGACCTATAGAACTGTGAAAATGTGTATGAATAAGTATTTGTTTTCTTAATCAGGCAACATGCTTCTCTTTAAAAGACCAAGCAGTTTCTTTTAGAATGAATATTGTCCTTTCCCAATGTCAAATAATAAGCAAGATTGGCAGAAACCTCGAGACAGGAATTTATCAACCTGAGACTGGACAGCTACTGGAAGGGGGGCTGCTCGGGGGACCGATGCATCGGACACATTGGACTGGGTGGGAGGGTGCTGTGGGCAAGGTGACCTTGATCTCTCTCAGCCTGATCTGATTATGATTCTGTCACCTTAGACGGCAGAGAGGGTAAGTGACTTGCCCAAGGTCACACAGCAGCATGACAGGTTCTAGGAAGACTCCTGCCTGATACTCAAAGCAGGGCTCGTTCGCGTTCCAGGTGGCGTCCGTCAGCCTGGACTTATCTCGAGTTGTATATACACCTTCTGAAGTTGCTATGGAAATCCTGCTTCGGCAAGATGCATTTTGAAAGACATTTCTCATGTCTTGAGCTGGCTTTTATGTGGCAATAAAGGTTTTGCACATTTCCTCCTTCCAAGTAGGGAGGGAGAATGAGTAATTCCCCAGAATGGCCTGCTGTGGGGAGGGCAGCCGCTGGTCGCTGGGAGGGCGGTGACAGCGGCAGCCTGTTTTCCTTGGACCCCAGTGAGGCATTACATCATGGGTTCCGAAGCCTGACAGTGGTGGCACTCTGGGATTCTCCTGGCCGCCTGCCCGGCTCCCACAGGCTGCCCAGAGCCTATCTGAGGAACCTCCTCATTAAACACTGTCACACGCTGAGCAGCCTTCCTGGTGGAGGGACCTTCACAGCCACAGTCCTAAGGGCAGCAGGCTGGGGAAGCGGGCCTTCCTGGCACGCCCTGAGTGGAGGTCTGCCAGCTCTCGTGTGTGTGTTTATCTCTATTGGAGGAGCAGCAAGCCTCCTGTGACATTGATAAAACGGGCCGAGTCTTGGGAGCAGCGCTAGGCTTTGTAAATGACCTGACAGCCTCTTGAATGGATTCCCTCTGGACCCTTCCTTCCTGAGGCTTGGCGTTGTACACATGGGCTGTCTCTGTATCTCTAGCCTGTCAATAGGTCTCTGGAGAAAATTATGAATTTTCATCTTTTTCTGGTTACTTGTGTTATAATGAGACACTTGATTCTGGAGACCCGGGCCCTAGAACTGGAGAAAAACAATAAGTGGCCCATTCTTTCTCTCATTAAAACAGAGCCACCCCCATCCTAAGGGAAACAAAAAGGCTTCCTTCCTCCACTCTCTTCTGCCTCCATCTCAGACACCCAGCTCTGCAGCAACCAGAGGCAGGAAGCAAGAACCTCCCTCCTCCCACAAACTCCTCCCACCTCTGGCGGGGCCTTCAGCTCCGAGGAAGCAGTAGGGGGACCATCTACAGGATGAAACACTCTGCATCAGGAATGCGAGCCCCCAGGTAGGGCTTGTGTGCTGGGCCGAGCTAAGCAGAACCCTGAGAACCATGGGCTGAGGACTGTGGTTTTCCACGGCCCCTTGGGTTTGAGGCACAACCTCCACTGTGGACCACATGTGGGGACCCCCAGAGCAACGGGAAGAAATGATCAGAACTTCTAGTCATAGTTATTTTTATCTAAAAATTAGCACTGCTAATATTTTAATATGCAGGTAGACAGTAATATGTGGGTGCGATTTATGATGAACATACATGTAGTAGCAGGGGGGAGTGCATGCTCAAACACACTTCACTGGTAGGAGTCCATGATTTTAAAGGTTTGTAAACCATTGGTTTGGGGTATCAGAGGACTAGTTGACAAGTGTGTCCTGCCGCATTGAATGAAGCCTGCTAGATCCAGGAACCCTCCCCTCTAGCTAGAGAAAGAAGTCAGCTCGCTGTAGGGCGGACGAGCTGCCTCAGGCAACCCTGCTGCCCAGTGCCCGGTCTGGACAGATCACTGTAATGCCATGATGAATTTCATGGCAGGGGGTAGGAGGAAAGTGAGGAAGGGAGAGAGGACATGAGGGAAGGGGATCCTACATGAGGCCTTTGAAACAGATGTGCAGTGTTAAGAAAGAGGAAAATAACCCTGGAGATGCAGGAGAATATTTAATTATGAGGAACAAAAAGCAACCTCAGAAGATGCTTGGGCACCCCTACCAGGGTGCAAGAAGATGCGGTCTCTGTGATGGAGAAGACTGGGCAGATGTGCAATGAAAACGTATCTGTTTCACACAAGCATAGAGTTCCAGAAAACAAAAATTGTTTTAGCAAAAAGAAAACCCACAGTGGGGCCACTGAATGTTTGAAAATGTGGAATGTGGAGGACAAACTTAAAAGTTCTCTCTGAATGTAGAAGCCAAGAAGAAAGACATGAGAGAAGAGAGTGATTGGGACCCAACTCAAGGCCATAGAATAAAGACAAAATCCAAGAATTGGAGGAAAAAAACAGAATAATTTGGGTAAAAGCATAATCAAGGACATGCATGAAGAAAACGTTTCCAGAATTTGCCAGCTGAGGGGCAGTGGGGAGGTTAAGATTAGGCAGATCAGGAAGGCTTTCTGTTTCCCAGTCAGAATGCGGAGGGTATTTTTTTCTGGAAAATTTACTGAATCACCAGGTTAAGCAATCCTAGAAGCACACAGGCAACACAGTGCAGACTTTCCCTCCGGAGACGTTAGGACATTACTGCCATTCACATGAGGAAACAAGAAAAGCAAAAGTCGTTCGTGGAGTTTTATGGACTCAGAAGGTCAACAACCTATATCGTTGGGGGAGCTCGCCTACCAGTTGTCCAAGGGATGAATCACAATTAAGATCTTCAAAAAAGAACAATGTGAAAGAAAGACAGGCGGACAGCATTGAAATCTGGTAACATCAAATTCAGATATTTAAGCATGGTTGCAAATCTAAATTCTAGAAAAAGCAGATTCTGGAAAGAGTAACTGTATGAAATAAAAATAATAATTCCAGCCTGGCCAGTGTGGCTCAGTGGTTGAGCGTCGACCCATGCACCAAGAGATCGCCAGTTCGATTCCCTGGTCAGGGCACATGCCCAGGTTGTGGGCCCAATCGATGTTCTTCCTCATTGATGTTTATATTTCTCTCTCCCTCTCCCTTTCTCTCTCTCAAAAATCAATAGACACTAAAAACAAAACAACAACAATAATTCCATAATTATCAGAGGGTTGCAAACCCTCAAGTTAAAAAGTTGAGAGAGAAGGCTAGAAAGGATTAGTAAAAGCATGCTAAATTCAACGTCTTAGGTAGAAAAGAACTTGAAAAGCCTTATCACTAGGTTTTAATAATTAGAGAAATATAGTTTAAATCATATTTAAACCTAAAGGTAACCAGATAGAATTTTTAAAGTATACCAATAATGATAATAGCATCAGCCAGGTATTATTTCACTTAGTACCACAGCTCTGTGAGGTGCAGGGTTATTATTCTCTCCATTCCTCCTCTGAGGAAATTGAGGCACACAGAGGTTAAGCAAATGTGCCTTGGGTCACAGAGCCAGGGTACGGCCGACCCGAGGCCCCAACACACTGCCAGAGAGCCTCGCTTTTACCTGCCCTGAGAACATCTACTTTCCACATCAGTGGATGAGACACACAATGTCAGACAGAAAAATAAAGGAAGCGGGAAGGAAGAATTTAAAAACAGAACACATGAAACAAAATGAGAGAAAACCAAACTTAAAATTTATAATAATCAACAAAATTGAGTTTACCTCCCTATTAGAAGACAGTGCCTCTTACTTAGATAGGACTTAAAAGCAAAATGTAATTACATGCTGTTTACAAAAGAAGTACCCTAAATGGAAGGACCAAGAAAAATAAATGAATAACAAAGATTTATTAGGTCAGATTTATTACAAAAGGGCAATTAAGTACAAATCACCAATTTGAATCAAGTTGAATTCAAAGCAAAAAGCATTAAATGGTCCAAAGGAACCATTTTAATAGCAATAAAAAGACTAAACATAGCAACACTTCTAATTTTTATGCAAAATAAATGAGGTTGAGAGTCTGAATTATGAAATGTTTTAATTAACTAATAAATGTTGACATTGTAGCCTATAAACAAATAATACATCTCCTTTTTAAGCATCCGTGGAACATTTGTAAAAGTCAGTCAACTTCTTAGCCACACACTTAGCCAAAACATCAGGAAAATTTTTTTTAGATACATTTCTAACTACAAGGCCAAAAAACTTCAACTAAAAAACCTTTTTGTGGGGGCTTTTAAAGCAATCTCCTCATTACAACTTGATCAAAAGAGACTTATTCAGACGACTATTTAAAAGATTACAATGACAACTCTATATATCAAAACTCAGGGTGTGACCAAAGTTGTACTCAGATTAAAAATATCCTTAAAGTTAAAAAAAAAAAAAAAGGCATGAAAATAAATTGAATTCATTAAAAGAACAAAACAAACTTCAAGAGAGCAGATTAAGTTGATAACAAAGACAAAGACAGGAATTAATGGATTTAAAAAAATAGAAAAACAGAATTTATAAATCCAAAAGATACTGATGTCTAATAAATCTAATAAAGAAAAACGTTAGGAAACACAAACAAAATTAGAAATTTTAAGAGAGAATAACTACTGATTCTGAGGATTTTTTTTTTTTTTTATCCTCACCCAAGGACATTTTTCCATTTTTTGTTCAGATAGAGTGGGAGAGAGAGAGAGAGAGAGACACAGAGAGAGACAGAGAGAGACATCGACGTGAAAGGGACACATCGAGTGGCTGCCACCGAACGACCAACCAGGGCCAGGGACAAACTGCAACTGAGGTACTCGCCCTTAGCGGGATCTGAACCTGGGTCTCTCGGGACCTCAGGCCGATGCTCTAACTGCTGAGCCAAACCAGCCAGGGCCTGAGGATGTTTTAATAAACAAACTAGCTTAACTTTTTTTTTTTTTTAATATGTTTTTATTTATTTTAGAGAGAGAAGAAGGAAGAGGAAGAGACAGAAACATTGATGGACTGCCTCCTGCTCGCCCCCTACTGGGGATTGAGCCCGCAACCCCACCTTGTGCCCTGACTGGGAATCCAACCAGGGCCTTTCAGTCGGTGGGATGGCGCTTAATCCACTGAGCCACGCTGGTGGGGGCGCTAAACTTTTTGTTGTTGTTGTTGTTTAATAAAAGAGAACATTGAGGAGAATTTTCTCTACTCAATATTAAAATATATTATAAAACTCAAGTAATGAAATCAGTATGGCACTACTGAAAAATCAGTAATGGCAGATCAATGAAACCTAGTGGAAAAACTCTGAAATAAACTCTAGTATGTAAGAACCCAATGTATTAGAAAGAGACCCAATTAGAAAGCAACGCATTACTCAATAAATGTTAAGGGGGAGATGTGATGTTTGGATGAAAATTCACATTAGAACCCCATCTCTCACCAGCCACCAAAGTAAACTCATTCGTTGGAGTCCGATGTAAGAGAACAACTCTGAGCAAGCTCTAGAGAACAGAGTGAAGATCTCATCAGTTCTGAGATGGAAAGGAACTGGTCGGCATGAAATGTCAGAAGAGAAGAAACATGAAGGAAAAGACTGGTGTAT